TGAACCTAGACGAAACACCAACGTCCAAATAGCTTGAGAGCTTTTGTACCTTCAATTGTGAACGGAGCTATCATTGCGTACAATCTGTTTATTTTTGCCCTATTTATTATTCACCCTAATTACCTACTACTAGTTCTACGAAATTATCACTACGTTACAACGCACTTCCACTCCAAATCTAAACGTGTTAACATGATCGTGTTTATAAGTCTGATGGCGAATAATGATGGCCTTGTCTCTCCTAACAAAGTGAACTGGTACAGGGCAGAGAATCAGGAAATCAATGCTAGCAGACTATAAGCTGAAATACAAAGTACTTCACTTGACAGAAGGCCCCGAAATGTATGTATGCAAGGTTTGAGTCTTATCGGTTTAGAAATAAAAATTTACTCGATACATACCTACATACAAAGAGCTGGAAATCTTCTTATGCGTCAAACTTCTTAGATCATTCAGTGTTGCCTAATTCTACAGTGACCAAGTTGTCAGAAGAGAAAGAATATAAAATTTGGCGACCACTATCTTATCACTAATGTCGCTAAATACGGAAGCTTTCACATGTTCTCATTCAGACTGCAACACAGTACTGTCTCCATGATTCTCATCAGGCATGGTACTCATCCATCTCCGTCACAAAACTTTCAGACTTTCGTAAACTTGTTCGGAGAGTCTCCATCAGCATCGCCACCGTAATATGCGTTTTTTTTATTCTTCCCATATGATAGATATCATCGCAGTTGCCTCTCCTGTGTCTTCTCGGTATTAGGAGACTTCCGTCGTAGCTCGAAACCCGTCATTGCAGACGTGATCTAGTAGGGAACGCCCAATGCAATTTTTGCCTCCATTATATTGAGTTTGCATTCTTTACTTCGCTACTTGGCCAACAATGGCTAACATACGCGGTATGAATGGATTACGGTGGTGGGATTTGAATTACACTAGCATCCACTTATGACTAAAACTTTTGTGAAGCTTCTATTCCATGAATGCTGTAAATCTAGCGGATAGCTCACCCTGAGATCTCCTTTGGCAGAGATGCGACTTTCTAGGCTTATAAGAACTCGTCTTTCTAATTGGCTCGCCATCGAACATGGCTTCTGTGCTGCCCAT